GGGTGTCACGTATGTGTGACACCCGTCGTAAGTGGGTTAATGATGATTAGTTCACTCAAGTTTATTGTTTCTGTACATACATGATTGTAATTTTTTCAAACTTTAATTTTAACCCATTAACGCCGGTATATCTTGAAACCGAAAATAAAAGATTTTGGGCGGCTACAAAATCTCTATCTATCTATCTATCTATCTATCAGTCTATCATCTCTCTCTCTCTATCTATCTATGATTATCAAACTCACAATAATGAAAATAAATTGTATATTTACGTATTCCAGCATAGTATGATTATGTCTATGAAATACGATATCTATATGCATGTAGTATAATATGGCCTGGACTCTGCCCACCCGCTGGCTGCGGCCTGCTGCTGCGATGGAGCTCGAACCCCGATACAGCGTCACACTGGCGTTAGTGGGTTAAAAGATATAGGAGTACTGGCGGGATAGTCTTTTTTTAGTGCATACTTTAGTGTTCTTATACCCTCTGTCCATAAGCACAGTTCTATCAATATTTATTCCTTAATGACAGAGTATGTAAGCATTTTATAGATCAGTGTGTATGGTATTGACATAAATTCATTTTCAGCATGGAGGGATTGTGATGTTATATGACCCATGTGCAGAGCCAGTGCTTGTGAATCGTCTTCGCAAATTAGTAACTGGTTGCTTTCGGAAGCATGTCATCACTCCATACACCTTGCTAAGTAGGGAGAGGGTAAGTATTTTGCCTCTAGCACAGTTGGGTCTCACTAGCAATGGTAATGCTAGTAACCCATGTATTTAAGTGAAAAAAAAGAATACAGGAATATATACATAAGATATTAAAAGCGTTTATTTATAATATGAAGTCTGTTTTTTCATCAGCTTGTTTTTGCACAACAGAAAATGTATATTTCACTGTCATGTGTTAAATACATAATGATGTAGTAAATCAGAAAAAAGTATTGTAGGTAATCCATGCAAATGAGTGAAAATAAGAAGAAAAATTTAAAGAACATACATAAAATATAAAAAAACTTTATTTGTCATGCAAAGCAAGGCAGCACAGCCATTATTTCTGCTGTCAAGGAACTATTGTGCGACACTTTGGTTTGACTCTGCCCCCATTTATTGGGGATGGGGTAATGGCTTATGAAAAAAAAAACATTTGAAATAAGAATAAACGATTAGAAAAAATAATTAGTCCATTTAACTATAAGCATCTGAAAACCACTAAAAGTAGTTCTATGATGCATTTGAAAAGGGGTGGTATCTAGACAGATTCATGTTGTGTTTACCAAATGTGTTTGTAAGCTCTGGAGATCATTACGTAATTCATGTTGAATTATACTTAGATATTCTAATTATTCCATAATTAGATGTGAAAATCTAAAACTGTATATAATTTTAGTCACAATTATAATTGATTTATAATAAGAGATATTTTCAAAACACTCAAGAGAACTAAGGTGCTTGAAAGAGAGAACAAATGAAGAAGAAAGTAGGATGGAAGTTAACACAGGATTTCTGCTTGTAATTCACCATCATTTAATTTGTAATTTTCAGATATTGATAACTAACAACCTGTAATGATTGTAAAATAATGATTAATCATGTAAAGTAGTTCAACGATAAAATAAGATTTGTCCTCTTAAATACAGTTCCCAACCCATTAACCCCAGGTAAAAAATTTGGATAGTGGGCTATTAATGCAAAATTGTTGGTTTGCATCAGCAGTTTCCTGTTTGCACTGGCTCGTTTGGTAGTTTGTGAGCAACATTAGGCACAGAAGCTTATATTTAATATCATTAAAAAAAAGAGTAAAGGTTTACCTTCACTTTAAGTGCTATTGCCTAAAAGTTTTGCAGAAAAACAAGCTCTGTCCAATGAGCTGATGGTGTGGGAATGGTCATGATGCAATGCCACCCGCTACTTGGTCCACAACAGCCATGGGATGTATGTACATGTCATCTGGCAGGAATGGGTTAAAAATTGTAACATTGGCAGCATTTCTTTTGCGAGGCATATTTGAAGGTATTGTAAGTGGAGAGGAGCAACACCAAAAAGTGTTTCAACAGTTTTTTTTCTGATGGAAACAAGGCCTCACACACATGTAGATGGTAAAACTACAAAAGAGAAAACAAGCAGTAGTCATATGAAACATTATATTAGGTTTTGTGGAAGGAAAAGGATGGTTTGGCTAGGTGAAATTTGGCATGCATTATCAGAATTACTATTTCACACTCATTTTATGAGTCAGGGAGAAGAAGGGCTATGAGATGAGTGAAAATATTGGGATGATATGGTGGAAGTTTAGGAAACTTGCTAGACATACTGTTTAACACTAGAACAACCACTCATGGCTTCCCAACTAGAATAACTGAGTGCTCGAAATGCATGCAGTTTCCACTGTATTGATGCGTGTGTGTTTCACTTCGTAAAACATGATTGTTTTTTGGTTTAGTTTTTCTTTGTAAGATAGTATAACAATGGTTTTCAAAAGAGACCAAATAATATATTCCAGAATGCACTTTTTTAGAATAAAGTACATAAGTACAGTAGTCTTATTCAAAAAGGATGATGATAAGAAGATAACCAACTGCAACATTGTAACCATTCCACTGTTTACACTGTAACCACTCCACTATTTTCTCATAAAGATTGTAATTACTTAATTATTTGATATGCAGCAGTTACTTCTCAATTTATAGTACTTTGATCACATTTGTCTGTTGATGCTTTCAAACTGTCTATACACTTCTCTTTCTCGTTCAAGAATGTTTCAAATGCACCTGGAATAAATACATGTGGTGGAATGAATAATGAAACACATTTATTTTCTAACACTTTGATAATATGATAATTCTACAATTCACTATTAACGCTGGCACAGATCCGTGAGGCTGTTGCTGAACAAGCGAGAGCGACTGTTTTTTTGCTTGGTCTTTTACAAGAGTTTTATGTTGAATAGGGTAGGCTCTCATAGTCCCTTAAATTTCACACTTGATCATGCCCTATTATAAATAAATATCTATATGTCAATATATGTGAGTATCAATAATAACAAAATATATAACCAATGTGTTTATAACAATTGTAGGAAATACTTAATTCAGTATTATAAAAGGATTAACATAGGTATGTAGTACCATGTTGGTGACTTAGAATATGCCCTATGATTTGTCTGTTTGTTTGTCTTGTAGGACTATGTAGTATAATTACTACCAGTATGGTTACTATTGGAGATATGGGAGCAAACAAAATATATGTATGATCATTATTTGTGATCATCCACCCAACATGAGAGATTACTGTGTGTTTGTAACTCATCGTTTTTCATACTTTCGAAATGAGTCCCTTTGACAGTTAGATAATTGTAAGCATTTATTATTTGAAAGTATTTTATTTCGTAGCTCCAGGTCTTTAGACAGGTGGTAATAGCATAGTTAACCACTTCCTGCCAGGTGGCTTGTTTGTGCATGACATGGCTGTTGTGGACAGAGTAGCAGATGGCATCAAACACGACCATTTCCATGCCGTTGGCTCATTGGAAAGAGCTTGTTTTTTTTCGATGGTAGCTGCACCATTTCTATAGTAAAACTTTTAAGCAATAGCTCTTAAAGTGAAGGTAAACCTTCAAAAATTTTATATTTAAAAAAATTGTATCAAAATACAAGCTTTTATGTGCCTAATGTTGCCTGCAAACTACTTGACAAGCCGGGCACAAACAGGAGAGACTGCGATCATGTTCAGTAACCAAATTTTTTACCCAGCATTATTGGGTTAAAATATGGTGATGGTAAACTTTCTATAATTATATTTTGGACATTACTCACGTCTATATTGTTGAAATCCTGGACACCACTTGGAAATGACAAAGTTTGTGAATATTTCGATAACCAATTGTTTACTTGAGGAATGCAAGATGCTTGTATGGCTAATGCTCCAGTTACTTATACCTTATGAGAAGATAATTTATCTCCAGAGGATAGTTGAGTGGAAGTAAGTACGGAATAGATAGTTTCTCTGAACTAGTTATGAAGTGAAGAAAGTTGATATATGACATTGTTTAGAAATGTGATGTGCACTTTTGGTTTTCTATGCATAATAATTGAAATATAACTGATACTGTTCTTTAATTTAAGGCCCAATTTTTTACAATTATACTCTTTAATCATGCGTTTGCATTCTTTGAGCTGTCCTAGTTCAAACTCAGTGACACTGATAACATTTGATATGGGAATTGCAAAATGTGTTGGAATGTGTAAAAGAAGAAAATTACCATCCATTTAGAAGGATGTCAAGTAATTACATATGTCCACTCTGGTGATTAGACATACGTAATAAGACTTGGAAATAATTACATCTTCCCTGTGATAAGTATTTTAATTTCTGTAGATGCTGATGAACTATTATTAACAAAATTTAGGTCTGTTTCATCAATGATATTAGGTGAAATAGACATTTGATACTTGATCATCAACTGTTTAAATAATTAACCCCTAGCCGACGGGTGGCATGTACGTACATGCCATGGATGTTGCGGACTGAAACACAGATGGCATCACATCATGCCCATTCCTGCGCTACTGGCTTGTTGGATGGAGTTTGTTTTTCTCTGATAGTAGCGCCTTCATTTGTATGGTAAAGATGGCCATGGCACCGATAATGAAGGTAATCCTTCAAAATTCTAATTTTTTTTATAAATTATAGCAAAATAAAAGCTTTTAGGTGCTAAATGTTGCTCGCAAACTACCAATTGAGCCGGGCGCAAACAGGGGAAACTGCTGATGTGCGCCAACAATCCCGTTCTTACATTCACTTGCCAAACATTTTTACCCGTCGGCACCGGGTTAATTTCAGGGTGCCCTAGGCCCCTCTTGACAGTTAGTCTTTGCTGACTCCTTTGATATTGCCCTGAGTTATGAAATTGGTGTCCACTTAGGACTGTGCCTTCTAGTTGTTTTTTTCCTTGTGAGATTGGAGATCATGTCCTTCTATAAGTGATTAACAAATTACTAAGATATGATGAGTAAACAACTTGCCTAATTTTGCAAGGCCTTCTTTACAAAGTAAACCCAGTGCTGACATTATTTTAAACACCAGGCATAGCTAGCAGTCAGCCATTTGATGGAAAATTTAGAGGCATGGAAAAGAAAATTTCCCCATGCTCTATGATTTTGAATGCAGTAAACACACATTTCCAGGAAATGAGGATAAAAAGTGACCAAAAGAACTCTCATATTTTATTATTCTTTTGAGCCAGAAAGATGAATCATACATCCTTTTTTTCCCCCTTATATAGAATGCATGAAATTTCTCTCTTTTTTTATCTGTCAAACATTCTCTGAACAGTTATCTTTTGCCAAGGTGTGTCTGGCAGTTTTTCTTTTTCAATATCATGTTTTCATCACATACACCAATTTTGAAAGAAGCACAAATGGAAATTATTGAAGGTGGTGCTGGATGCATATGGGCAATTTATTTACAGACAAAAAGAACCCTAATGTTGGGCTTGGTTAAAGATGAGCCAGTAATCCTTCTTGAAGTTTTAAGAAAAAATGTTTTTTTTTTAGTTTATAGTTTATCAATCAACGAGAGTAGTTATAAGTTATAATTATCTATCAGTTGGCTTCATTTTATGTTATTTTAATTTTTTTCTCCTTATAATATTACCCAGTGGTATGAAAGAAATTATATAGAAATTTAGTAATTTATCAATATCTCTTCTTTGCTATGTATCTTAATGCATGCATGTGGGATTCACATACATGAAGAAGTGATAAGAGTGACATCCAAACATTTTTTCAAATTTATTTTAGTAATTTTCCAATGTAGAGTAAAGCATCATCAATTTTGAACATATTAGAAGATTATTTGTTTCCTGAGGTTTCTATAAAACTAACCTATGATTAGCTTTATATAAGAGGCTTTATGAAGTGCATGTTTATCAGCCTCAAAATGAGGTGAAATATATTTATTTTGGTAAAAATATGTAATTCATACATTTAATTCCTGCATTAAGATTTTTTACTGTCAAAGGTATTTTTACATTTCATATATATATTTTTTGATAATAGTATCAACACAATAGTGTTTTACCCTTCAATAAAGCATGTAGAAAAATGCATTTCAGAGCATAAAATATGATCACAGTTCCACAATATGCATATTCTAAATTAAAGTGATCATATATGTATATGAAAATTATAGTGGCACCTGCCCTTACCCTCTACTCTCTCGCATCTGTTGTGTGATATGTCCACATCACTGACAAACTGGTTGTTAACCTAGGTGGTGTGAGTTACTCTCGTGCTCTGCATATTTTCAGTGGGATATGCAAGATAAAACTCTGTACTACCACCCTTTAATTAAGCCTCAATTTATCATGGCATATTGTGAATACAAGCCAGTGAAGATGGAAAATGTAGACTTGCATCCTTACGGGTGATATATGCTGTTGACTAACATATAAGGACATAAACTCTGGTGCTTGGGTAATTTGCTAGGCAGTAAGCAGCATGTTTGTTTACAGCTTATAGTTTGTAAGAGCAGAGTAGTTGCATTGTTATGACTGCTCCTTGGAATTTTTGTTTTACATGTTTTAACTTTTTTATAGAAAAGGTAGAACATAAATTAAATGCTCTCAAATTAGAAGTTAGATATTTGTGTAGGTAAAGATTCTTTATTGAACTAGAATTTGTAAATCCATAGCAGCAGACTGACCACAGGAATTACCAGCAAATGGTTAGATTTTAATTGACCAATTTTCAAAGATAAATAGAATAGACAGTAAGGGAATATTTTATCTAGTTTGGAATAGACAGGAAGTGAATGTTTTATCTAGCTTGGGTAATTTTCTCCTTATCAGATTGATCTGGCACATTTCAGCACTTCCAAACATCAGCATGCTATGTATTTTTTTGACTGTAAATGAAGTATGTTCTGTAGAAATTGTATTACTGTAAGGGATATCAGAGTTTTTCAGAATTGTGATTTGAACTGGAAGTTCTAGCTTATGTTGGTTTGTTGTCAGAAAGCCAATAGTAACTGTACTGTGTATTTATGTCTGGGTTGAATGTATATCTGTAATTTATATATCATAGATTCATCTCACAGTTCATTATCTATTTATAGTGTGTATGTAAAAAAGAATGAAAAGTATTTATCAAAGACAGGATATCCCAAAGTGTGGGTTGTTGGGTTTGTTTCTTTTTCAAAAAGGATTGTAAGCTTTAGTGAAGTGTACAGGATGTAAAACATAGATGGACTAAGTGTTTTTTTGACTGATTTTAGATTAAGGAGTATAAATGTTTAAAAATTAATCCTTTATTCCTCCTTATTTTTAAGAATCAGAAAAAAATCAAGAAACAGAAAAAAAAAGTAGTAATGATGGAGTTGGTTTGAATTTGTTAAGATAACTTCAATTTAAAGAATTAAGGAAGGACTTATAGATTTTAGTTATTTCTAGATGCCTTGTTTAGATTTGAACTTGGAGATTAAAAAGGCATTTCATGCTAGCGAAAAGGGAAGAATATAACCCAGTGCCGACGGGTAAAAATGTTTGGCAAGTGGACGTATGGACAGAATTGTTGGCACGCATCGGCAGTTTCCCGTTTGTGCCTGGCTCGATCAGTAGTTTGCGAGCGACATTTAGCACCTAAAAGCTTTTATTTTGCTATGATTTATAAAGATATTAAAATTTTGAAGGTTTACCTTTATTATAGGTGCCATTGCCTAAAATCTTTACCATATAAATGAAGCTGCTACTATTGGAGACCAACAAACTTTGTCCGACGAGCCAGTGGCACGGGAATGGGCATGACACAATGCCACCTGTCTATCGGTCCACAACAGCCATGGCATGTACGTGCATGCCACCCGTCGGCTAGGGGTTAAAACATTGCACCTAAGTTTCCAAAGAGTGAATTGAAAACCAACTTCATTATTTTGAAAGGATCAAAATTAGATTGTCCCCTCTCCCCCAAGAGGAAAATATTTTGAGAAAAAGGCAGCAAAAGATTTATTTGTATGATTTTATTTGCTGATACTGTATTTCAAGGCATCACAAAATCCCTGCATCTTTTCCAAAATTTGTTGCAAAGTAAGGCACATAACTTTATTAATCCAGTGTTGTTAGGATGACAAGAATATATGCCATATCCATGTTTTTTTAGTGTATTGATTGCTTGTATTGAATGTTGGTGCCACAAGTGCTTAATCCCCAAGGAGTTAAGTACTGGTCCTACCAAGATCACCTGTTTAATTTTTGGAAAGATTTTTTTATGTTTTGTTGCCATTAGAATTGTTGGTAATGTTATAATTATCGTAATGTCAACATCAACAATATTAATAGCATTAAGAAAAAATATTTTTCATGAAAACTCAAAGAAAGGGGAAATCAGCTAAGAATATGTAGGCATACTCATTGGCCACTTGGTGGCTGAGCACGTACAGGGCCATCTATGTGCAAACAGAATTCACAGAAGAAAATGACAGTAAATAGTGTGATTACCTGACACCATTGGGTTAAAAATGGGGGCACTCTTATAAAGAAAATAATGTTTATCACATCTCAATCTCTATCTCAATCTCAATAATAATGCATAGTGCACTATTGAGCGCATGACACGCATATTGGTGGTTATTGGTTGCTGGGGGGAAAGGGGAAGGACTAAAGTGCAAGCAGAAGTGTCAGTGTTTGTGAAGGTGCTTGTTGTGTTAAGTGTTTATATAATTTGTTTGTGAAAGTGCTGAGTGTTTTAGCTTCAATTATGTGTTGGGGGAGCCTGTTCCAGTCGCGTATGGTACGTGGAAAGAATGAGTGCTTGTAAGAATAATTGTTGGTGTGACAAATTTACTGGTGTGTGAGTTCGTTGTGTTGCGTGTGTGCTGCGTGTAAGTATTTGTGTTTGTTGATGTCTACAAGGTTGTTTGTGATTTTGTACATGATTGTAAGTCTGTGTACTTGTCTTTGTGTCTCGAGCAGGTCCATATTAATCTGTTTTTTTACGTGTGATGTAATACCAGGTGAATGTGAGTAATTGTGTGTAATAAACCTGGCAGCCCTAGTATTAACCTGCTCAAGTTTCTCAATGTTGTGTTTAGTGTAGGGGTCCTATACAGCCATACAGTACTCTTGTGCTGGGCGTACAAGTGTGTTGTAAGCTATGTGTTTGATGTCCGGAGTACAGTTGTGTAGGTTCCTCCTTCGAAACCCCATTGTTCTGTTAGCTTTATTGATGATAAAGTCGGTGTGTGTGTTGAAGGTGAGATTATTGGATAGGTGGATACCGAGGTCTTTATGAGATGCTGTAGGAGTTAAGGGATGGTTGTGTGAGGTGCAAGTATAATGGATAGGTGTGTGGCTTCTTGTAAAGCAGAGAATTTTGCTTTTATCTGGTCTGAAGGACATTTGCCATAGTCTTTCCCACTGTTCTAGCACGTCAGTGTCTTGCTGGGGGAGTCTACAGTCGTCTTCAGTTTTTATAGGTCGAAACAAAAGGCTGTCATCAGCAAAAAGTCTAGCAGAAGAATTAGGAGTCGAAAGTGGAAGGTCATTAATGTACAGAAGGAAAAGAAGGGGGCCAAGAACAGTGCCTTGTGGGACACCAGAAGGGACAGGTTCAGAAGATATGCCGTCGAGTAAGACATGTTGGGTCCTAGACGTCAAGAAAGCAGTGATCCAGTGAAGTATTGGTCCTGTGATCCCGTAATGTCGTAATTTAAGAGTCAGTCTTTTGTGGGGAACTTTGACAAAGGCTTTGGCAAAGTCAAGAAGTATGGGGTCAATTTGTTTGGTGTCACGTCTGTCTAGTTGTCGTACAATGTCATGATGAGTAGTGATTAGTTAGGCCTCAGATGACTGTCTAGGCCGAAAACCGTGTTGTGAGTCTGTAAGGATGTTGTGGGTAGCAGTGTGATTCATTGTGTTTATGTATTATGAGTTCCAAAATTTTACAGACGATAGATGTGAGGGAGATGGGGCGATAATTTGTGGGGTCAGTTCTGTCGCTTGTCTTGAAAAGGGGGGTGATATTTGCACAAAGTCAGTCAGTTGGTAGGGTGAATGAGGCAAGTTACTTAAATGTTACAGCTCGCTCCTCAAAAACATTTATCAGTGTGTTATGTACTGTTTTGATATCTGTTTTTTATATTTAGTTACTGTACTTTTTGAGCAAACCATGATTAACCAGAACTTTTGCTGATGTCACTGCAAACTAATATAACTTTCAATGTTACCACATTTCTTTTGATATTTGATGGAACCACACAGACAGTGAAGTCATCTTCCTTCTATAGCTTTGGTATGGCCAAAAAAGATGGATGTAATATCTAGAACAATGATTACATAAGTTACTTTATCTGTGATACTGTCTGTTATAGTTATGTATTCATGGAGTTCTGTCCCAATACATATATTTTTAATGATATTTAATGAGTACTTTAGAGCATAAAATGAGGGTAATGATAATTAAGCAAATAGATAATTTCTCTTTTACATACTTATTCTTGAAAAAAATATGAGATTACAGTTGCCTTTCATTTAGCTGAATAATGGAAATATTTGTATTAAATATAAAAAGGCATAAGAGCCGTTTCTACTTCACATGCCATGTCTTAAACAGCAGCTCTGATTGTTTCCCATTCCTCTATTACAGCCCCTGGCACTTGTTGCATGGGGATGCAGCCTTGAGATGGCAGTGGTGAATGATGAGGAGGTCAAGACATTCATCAAGGAACATGCACTTCATGGGCCTGAAGGACACTATGCCAAAGATGGAGGATACAAGGAAGGACTCCTCAGGAAGGCGGAGTATCCTCCAGGTGCACAGGAAAAGGACTCTAACATTTGCCCCTAGGAATCAAGAATCTGTCATTCCAGTTTTTGAAGTTCTGATGATAAAGGAGTTTGTAAGTTTTAAGGTTTACAGCATAATTAAAATTTGTCCTTGCTATCTGAGAACTGAGTATTGATATTTACAGTATTCAGTATAGGGAAGATATGATCATATGTTATGTATCACAAAGTTAGAGATTGCATAATAATTTTTATGAATGGATTTAATATTTTTGTGCTTAATTTTGATATTTAGAAGCTTGAATATGAATAGTTGTTTTTCATAAGTAGAAAGTGATTAAAAGGTATGAAATATTGCATGAAGAAGCTCATCAAAGAAACTATGTATTTTCTTTGTGGGCCTAGATATACTTTTTTAAAATTTTGAAATAAGAGTAAGAGAATGATGTTCAGAATAACTTAAAATTATCTGCTGCATTATGATTTGTTATTTATTTTTACTACTTGTCAAGTAGATTTACAGTCAGGAAAGTTCAGAAGTCTAGTTATGGGTTTTAACCAAACATTTTTTTATTTCAAGTAAGTGAAATATGCATGCAGAAGTTTTAGTTAGTATTTCATAAAAGTGGAATTTTGCATTAGTGTCTGTATTCAGATCTTTGAAAAGCAAATATGTATGTCCATTACACTGGTTCCTTGCATCCTTGGATATGATGCACTTTTGTTTGCTCAGACAGTTTTTGAAAACAATTACTCTCTGTGCATATATATTGATATCTTGGTGACCTTGAGTCACTACAGTGGAAAAGTATATTTTTGATTGGCATTAAGGAAGACATGGCTTCTTCATTGAAAAGAAAAATGTATTTTGATTGCCTCAACATTTTCTAAAAGCTTTGCATTCCTGGAACTCAAAGCTGCTCACAAAGTAAGTAAGGAAGCAAGAAAAAAGTTGCCATGAAAATAATAATATAGTGCAGGTTTTACATGATTTATCTGATAGGTTAGGTTAGTGGAAGAGTGAAATCTGAATAGTTTAGTAGGGAGTTTTTAGCAGTAAATGCCAGTTGCATTTGACTGTAAGAAGAAAATTAGAAATTAGGATTTTAGTAATACCTATATATGATCTGTCTCTCATTTAGATCTGATTTTTTGAACAGAGTAATATATACATCTTTAATTATTTGATTAAAATGTTTATATGCATTTTTTTTTGTTAACAAACAGGTCTGTGATTCCAGAGATGAGTTAGAAAAAAGTTAATATTTGATGGGAATTATTTCATTATATTTTGTGCATTTAATTGCTTTTTAGGGGTTAAAACTGGTGTTGTGACCAAGGAGAATATAATGTGCTTTAATCAATTTTAGATACTTATTGGTCATCTTTTAATGAGAATATAAAATCTCAACAAGGTTTTACCTTAGTTGCCATTGCATATTGTAAAGTAGATGATAAGGTAACCTTTTGATAATAAGGGTTTTTCTTTCAAAGTGTAAAAGGTTTGGCATAATGATCAAGGACAGAAATCCATTAATAGTATGTTGGATGAGGGTGAGGTACAGAGTTGTACAGAGGGATTGGGTGTGAAATGGGTAAGGATTCATGGTATGGGGCATGAGGGTTAATGTGCTGACTTCCATAGGGTGGAGACACTGCATTAGAGGAAGTGAAAGGTAGTTCTTATTCACAAATGTTTGTATATGGCAATTGGTTATTAATGTTATACTGTATGTTCTTAATGTAAAGTATTTACTTATAGTGAAATTATAGTGTTGGTGCTTGCAATATCTGAATTAATAGCATATGATTTGAGTCAATTTTCCAGGAAACCAAGTTATGTGCATCATTTTTAAAGGGGGGTGAAAAATCTTCTTGACAATCTAAGTATTTTTATAGTCTCTTACTGATTAACAGGATTAGATAAAGGCAGCAGCTGGTGAAACCTGCTTTTTAACTCCTTTTTTGCATGGCATTGAAAGCAAATCTAGAATAAGGGACATGTGTATAATGCTTAAGTGGTAGCTTCATAGATGAATTTTGAAAGAGAAAAACATTCATAAACATTTTGTGATAAACAGTAGACTTAAAGCTTTTGTAAGGTAGTTTGATTACTGTATATTGGTAGTGGGTCTGCTGAATAATAAATGAATATCAATATTTGAAAATCACTTACCAAAGAGGATGAAGGCCTGTAGTGGATAGTGTGTTGTATTTTTGACTCACTACCATTAATCAGTTATATTGACTATTAAGGTTATTAGTTTCCTGAGGAGAGGAAAATGTGGAATCTAGTATGGATGGTCTGGAATGAAGAACTTTAAAATTATACTTAGCAAGCTTTTCAGTAATTTGAGTATGGTGTGTGTGGTGCATACAGTGTGTGCATGCATGTGCAAGCATGTGTGCATTTTTGCACATATGGTTTTGTGTGTGTGTGGGGGTGTGTGGGTGTGGATGTGGGTGTGGATGTGGATGTGGGTGTGGGTGTGGGTGGGTGAGTGGGTGTGGGTGTGGGTGTGGTGGGTGGGTGGGTGGTGGGTGTGTGGTGCGTGTGTGTGTGCACACGCGTGTTTGCATTTGTGTGTGCCTGTCCGTCCATCCCTGTCCCCTCACCTTCTCTCTCTCTTCTCCTTCCCCCTCCCACTCCCTCTCTCTCTCTCTCCCCTCTCTCTCTCCCTCCCCCCCTCCCCTCTCTCTTTCTATGTGAAGTAAGCAGATTGAGTAGCTAGGTATGAATCAGTACTAGATTGTTAATTTATATGAATACATTATATACTTTAATAAATGCAAATGATTATAATGAGCGGTTATAAAAATATCTTTGAATCTGCTGTTGTGAGAAAAAATACGATCAGTTATACATGTTACACAGAGTGAGTTAGATTTTTTTTGTAATGAGAACCCTGAAGTGGCTGAATCTCAGTTTTATTTTTAAAATGTGCTCTAAAGGTGTTTTGCTCATTTTTTTCTTTCAGTATTGTTAAGGTATCATCAAATGATAACTGCATTATGTGATTCTTTGTTTTATTTCAGTGTGATACAAAACAGATCTGGTGTAATATGTACTTATATTTTTATACATAGGGTTTTATTCTTTATAGATTTATGTTTACAAAATAGGAAATATCCCAGTAATTACCCTCAGGTGGTACAGATTTTGATAGGTGTTGAAAGGTACAATCCACTTGAAATGCTGTTGGAGGCTTTAATGGAAAGGATGAGTTGGTGCTTTGAAAGCAGAAAGTTGCAGCTGCTGCTCTTCCAATCTTCTGATTACTGTAAAAGCACCGAAAGTGTATTTGTCTGTTATATTTCAGTCTGCTTGTAACATGTAGAAACAGACTTCTGAAATTTGGAATGATAAAGCATATAAAACACATCTTTGTTTATCCTTATTTGAATGCCCTCATCTGTTTTCTAAGGAGTACAGGGAATCTGTAACAGCAAAACAGTGACATAACTTCAGTGAATCATATAAGGCTGGTTTTATATTTGTATCTAATTAATTATCTTGTTGATTATGTTGAATTGTGTTTTAAAACTACAAATGAAAATCATCTTTAATCCACAAGAAGCATGGTTTTAAAGAATTGGGCTTTTATGTCTTCAAGATGATTCTTGCTTATGTTGGCTTCTTGGAGTAATTCTAACATTTATACCTACAAAAATGTATTCCAAATGTGGCGGTGTGTAAAAGCACAACTACATGTAATAATTCGTCCTCATGGAATTCACCGGTGGGTATTATTCACATGAAGAATCAAGCTTCAATCTTCAGTAAAAAGGGTCACTTTCATGAAGCAGCTTCCCCTACAATGTAGCGGCATATGCCAAGTCAATGAATATCCCTTAGTAGAACTGCACTTTGTTTTACTCTTCATATCAGACATCCTTACAGAATCCCACAGCTTCTGCCTTGACAACCTGTTCTCCTTCCTCAGACGCATAAATATCCTTCACTTGTTCTAACTCCCTTACCTAAACCACAATAACCTTTTCCCTCATCTTCAACCTTTCAACACTACTCTAGATAGTTGACACATGGCTACTATCACCTGACATCCCCCTTTACTATACCTTCCTATAGTGCTATAAGACCTTAGATGTCTAGCACATTTATTTTAACCATTAACCATTTACTCTTCATTTCACCGGTACTCGTAATTAATGTACTTGATGACCCACTTACCCCCCCCCCCTTTCTCTTGGAGA